TGCCACCCCACGAGGATACACGCTTTGGGAGGGAAGCGAGGAGGAGCCTCAGTGACTCCCACGCCGGCATGCAGGAGGAAAGCAGCCGGCTTTATTTACAATCTACACGAGCCTGGACACAATCCTATGAAGTAGGAATTGTCCCCATTTTACAGATAGAATGTTCAAGGCTCAGGAAGGTTACGCTTGCATAAGATCCCACAGCTGTTGAGAGGCAGAGGCAAAATTCTGGCTCCAAAACTTTTATTTAACACAAGTTTACTCCTAGTTGACTTGCAAGTAAGGGCTGGAGGCTTTGTGGGCGTAAGACTTAGGCTCTCAAGAGGCTTGATTCAAATTTGACGCAGAGGCCGCTCCTCAGGCCTTCCTAGTGCCTGAGGGAGCCGGGAAACCTCACCCCTGAGAAGCTCTGGTGGAGGTGCTGTCATTTATGTGGATGGAGAAGCTGAGGACTCTGGCAGCCACTCTGCAGCAGGGGGAATGATAACATAGACTGAAAGTTTTTTGTATGCCAGTCAGACACAAGCCTAACTGCTTTACACGTTTTATCTCATTTAATTCCAGCTACACTGTAAAGTAGGCAGTTGTTACTGTCTCCATTTAGCAGATGAAAAAACTGAGGCTGAGGAGTTGTGAGCACCCTTAGTTGTGATCATACAGAATCCATTTTCTTCACTTGGCTACTCTGACACCTGGCTTTCCTGATCTTCCTCACTTCACTGGCCACTGCTGTCTCTTTGATGGGCTTCTCCTCCTCTTTCCCAGTTGTTGAAGGCCCCAGGCCATAGTCCATGATGCTCTTTTCTGTCCATACTCACTCCTTAGGGTTGATTTATAATATCTGTATGCTGATGACTACAAAATTTCTGTCTCTAGCCCAGACCCCCAGACTAATATTCAACTGCCTATCATTCTGACATCTCACACTAACACATCTTGCTCCCAACAACCTACTACCTGCACTCCACTCCCACTCCTTCCTACCTCAGAGAATGACACCATTGTTCATCCAGTTCCCCAAGTCCCAAATGTAAAAGGTGTCATCAGTGTGCCTCTCTTATACTCAAATGCCATTTCCAGACCCCTAGCAAGTCTTGTCAGTGGAGCCTTCCAATCATCAGAATTCATCACTCACTAACTCTACTGTAACCATTCCAAACCAAGCCACCATCATCTTGGCCTGGCCTGGGTTATATAGTAACCACCTAATTGGTCACCCTGCTTATACCTCTGCCATGTCCCCTCCCCAGTCTGTTCTCCAAACAGCATCCAGGAAGATCTTTGTCAGTATAAATCAGATCATGCCATTTTATTCAGAACAAAGTTCAAATCCTAAGAAGCCCTCTCTGATCTGGTTCTTAACCTCTCTTCCCTACTTTTATCACTCTCTACCTTGCTGTAGCCACACTAGCCTAATTGCTGTTCCTCAAACTTGCCCTATTTCTTCTTGCCTCGGGGCCTTTGTACTTGGCTTGTCACTTAGCCCGAAATTCTCTTATCCCATATTTCATTCAGATCACTCAGATGGCACCTGATGAAAGAGGTCTTCTTAGACCACCCTTATAGAATAGTTCCCCACCCAAATCTGCTGAAGCTGCTTGATTTTCTTTCAGAGCAAATATCACTACCCAACGTTAGACATTTACTTACTGTTGTCTCTCTCTCATTAGAAGATCAGCTCCGTGAGTGCAGGAACTTTTTTGTCCATTACTGTATCCTCAGTTCCTAGAACTGAACCAGGCACATAGTTGGCAATGAATAAACATTTGTTAAAATGCCCGTTAAATTAATGTTTATGATTGTCTTAATAACATGGGAAGGGGAGAAGGAAAGAACTGTTGCTAAGTTATATTTTAGAACACAAAAGTCAAGAGTTGTTCACCAGGAAATTGGTGAAGATGGAGCTGACCCTGACAGCCTATGTATGCCTAGAGGGAAGTGCATGGCCAATGAATGAGGATGGGTCAGATTGGCCCCCATCAGAAAAATGAGGGGAGGGGAAAATGGAGATGTGTCTTCCATATGTCTAGGTAATGGCCAGGAGACAGAATGAGGGGACGTTAGGGGTCAAAGACCTGTCCTGGAACCCTTTCTGTGGCCAGGAAGCAAGGAAAGGGAACAGCACTTACTCTATCCCTCAGGAACATACAGAGTCCACTGAGGCATGGACACCAGCCTCACCAGCCCCTGTCCAGAGATACCTAGAATCAGTACATTTATTGCTTCAGAAAGGTCCAGAAGGTCAGAAACCTTCAGGACAACGTTGTACAGCTGTCCAACATGAAACTAGTGGTAGAGAGACAGACAGACCCAAGGTAACCTTCTCTAGCTCTTTCCACTCACCTTTGTCAGGTGAAACAATCCCATCAGATGCCTAGAGGAGGAAGTTGCTGTGCTGACTGACCAAACATTGGGATCTGGATTTGGTAGTTTGCCCATCCCATGCTGATCTGCCCAGACCCGCCCAGCTCTGTGCTTCTCTCTGCAGGCTGCCTTCAACTGGTTAGTAGCATTTCCTCTGCCCTTTCACAGAACCCTCATCTGCACCTGTCACTTTACATTTCTGTTTCACCCTAGTAGATCAGAAGGGCATCGAATAGTGCCTAGCTCATGGTAGACAGTTATTTCAGTTATACATTGCTAAATAACACGCAACCCCAAAACTTAATGTCTTGCATTCATTTCCTGGGCTATTCTGCTTCACATGGTGTCAGCTGGGGCACTAGCACAGTTGGAAATTCCAGAATGGCCTCACTCACATGGCTGGCTGCTGGTGCTGGCTGGGGGCTGGGCTAGAGCAGGTTGTAGGTCAGGGGCCTTGGTCTTCTTCACATGGACCTC